GAAGGAAGGAAGGAAGGAAGGAAGTTTGATTTAGCCAACAAGAGTATTAAAATTCATTGAATTAAATGGGATATTTAACCATAACGTTTTTCATTAACCATCTTCTGGACATAAAAGTATGATTCTTTCGCTAAATTGTGGCCGTTCTTATTAAACTATTTTTATTTAGATAATTAGGAGCAATGTTTCTTGTCTAGGCCCTGAATGACACTTCTTATAACAATTTGATGGGTCTTCAAAGAACAATGAGCTTTAAAAAATGACAGTGGCATTGTCTTCCTTCTCAACTTGAATACTGAAATAATAACCTGGAATAGTAGATATGTAGCACAGAATAACATGTGCAAATGTAGCCATGCATGGTTTGTCCCAATCATTCCGCTGACATGACTTGATTTCTATGCAAATATAAATGGAGACTCTACTGTGTAATTTAGTTAATTTTCCAGTTCCGTAAACAATAACTGGATTTTAACACCATCTGTGATACCTGTGGTTGAAGTCATGCAAAGTATAGGAATGAAGATCACTTTTTATAAGTAATTACTTAATAATAATCAAATAATAACTTTACCTCCCCCTCAAAAAAATAATAATAGAGATATAGAAAAGACTGAATGTGGTTCTTTAAAGTATTAACTTTTAATATGTAATTAATAAGGATCAATCTTGTTTAATTCCAGATTCCACAACATATGCACATTTTCTGTTCAATGCATTTGACACAGATCATAATGGATGTGTGAGTTTTGAGGTAAGGTTGTTTTATTTCTGTTCTATATATGGTCCAAAGTCTTGACTAGCTACATTAAAAGGTTATGTGCTTACATAGCTATGTTGCTCATAAGCAGCTATATTAGGTTAACAGAATTCTTGTTATTAATATTATTATTAAGTAGTACAGTATTTGAGAAAATACAAGTCCTGATTTTCTAGCTCTCCGCACCTTATTCCCTTATTCAGTCAACATTCTCCCTTAATTCCTTCTCCAATCAACATTCCCCCAACAGAAGAGGGATTGAAATAATTTTAATACAATGAGGAAACATTCAATTAGGGAAGGAAAAGAGGGCCTCTTTTTAAATCAACCAGGTATTTAATTTCAGCTTTCATTATCTTCCAGTTAACGTGTTGTCCTTGTTAATTCCTTCTTGTTTTAAGAGCTAAATGAAAGAAAATTGTTTCTCCTGAGTTCTTAACCCTCAACTTAAAGTCCATACAGCACTGAAAAGTCTGTTGGTCTTCTCCAATTCCAGATACTCCTCTGCAATAAGGTGATGTGATTGTTCTGAGACATCCTTCTTTATTTAGTATATTTTATTTATTTAATCGTATTTGTCAGCCACCCTAATCAGTGAAGACTTGGAAGTTTACAACAAAGCAAACAAAAGATCCACAAACAATACTACAGAATGATCTAGCTACAATGGTTGCCCACAAAGCCAAAGGTGTGTTAGAACAGAAGGAGCCTTGCAGGCACAGCCATGTGTACCTTTGGAATGTGGGGCCACCACAGATAGGGCCTGCTGCTTAATCCACCCCTTGCAGTTTATGATGACTCTCAGTGAGGCATCTCTTAATCTTTGGATTGCATAGGCAGGTTCAATCCAGGCACAAGTAGTGCCTGATGGATAAGTATGATTTTTATGGATGCAGGAAGTGGTATCAATTTAAAGGCCCTGTTGGAATGAGTGGGAAAATATGAAAAATATGAGGCAGTAAAATTAAGTGACCCCACAAAGTAATATTTAAATATATTGCTCATTAGATCTCCAGATGCTATAGAAAAGAAAATAATGTCTCCCAGAGCTTAGCAGAACCTCTGCTGTCTCAACTATCTGAGGCTCAAAAGGCAATGTCCTATCAATTTTTGTAATCAGTCATTTTCCTTAAAAAGGTTAGGTGAACTCAAAAAAGATCTTCCTTGAGTCCACCTTGATTCCTAATGGCTTCATGGACAGGTCCCTGAATGTTCGTCGACTGCTTTAGAAGCATGGTTTTCTAATATCTTTTTCCATGATGCTTTTTAGATTTTTAGATTTCCTAGCCAAGCCTACAGTGATGCTATTTCTTGTGGCCTCCCATTCAAGTACTAACCAGGTCTGACCCCACTTATCTTTCTGAGGTTAACCAAAGCTAAGTGTTGTCAGACCTGATTAATAAGTGAATGGGAAACTACAATAAATCTCACCTAGCTGGCCAAAATAAAGATCCCTTTTAGTCAAACTCACCTCATGGATAGATCCACCCAGCTTTCCCTAATAGCCCCACATTCAGAAGTGAAGAGTACAGGTAGTCTTTGTTTAGCAACTGTCCCATTTAGCAACTGTTTGCAGTTACGACAGTAATGAAAAAGTAACTATATGACCAATCCTCGCATTTATGACCTTTGCAGCTCTGTAAAGCAAAGGAAAGCTGAAGTAATATCATAAGCACAGTGCTTATGATATTACTTAGCCACTGCTTTACTTAGCAATGGAGTTGCTGGTCCCAACTGTGGTTGCTAAATGAGGACTACCTGTTGTATTGCCAGGTTCCAGGCAGTCGGTTCTTTTAGTATCCAGAGACCATAAATATGCCAGTAAGTAAGGAGATTTTAAGCTTTATTTTTAACTTTAGCAGGCAGATTAAACAGAAACACAGAAGTATAGCATACCAAGCAAGATGATAACAAATCTCCCTTCTGTCAGATTCAGCCAGCAGGGCATGGCTGCTGTCCAGTTTCACTGCCCCTAGTCAATTTCACCGCCCCAAGCGCAGGCAGCAGAAAAGAGGAAGTTGGGAGAACCGCAAGTTAATGGCCTGCAAGTGGCGGCAATTGACTCAGGGCAGGAGCGGATACTTCGTAACAAAGCTGGCTTCCCTCGAGCACTGCAGGCAATGCAAACCGCAGCGGCTCGGAAGTGCAGCGATTGGCAAGCAATTAAGGATCTCCAGTTTAGCCTGCAGAAGAAAAGCCCAACGAACTCAACAACCCCACAAACAAAGGACAGTAAT